AGGGCCTGGAGCGTGGAGCAGCGGAGGGCCTGGAGCGTGGAGCAGCGGAGGGCCTGGAGCGTGGAGCAGCGGAGGGCCTGGAGCGTGGAGCTGCAGTGGCCCTGGATCATGAGGCTGTGGCCATTGAGGAAGCTTAGGAGGCGACCATTCAGGGAGCTCAGGTGGCGGCGGCCATTCAGGGAGCTCAGGTGGCGGCGGCCATTCAGGAAGCTCAGGTGGCGGCGGCCATTCAGGAAGCTCAGGTGGCGGCAGCCATTCAGGAAGCTCAGGTGGCGGCGGCCATTCAGGAAGCTCAGGAGGCGGCGGCCATTCAGGAAGCTCAGGAGGCGGCGGCCATTCAGGAAGCTCAGGTGGCGGCGGCCATTCAGGAAGCTCAGGTGGCGGCGGCCATTCAGGAAGCTCAGGAGGCGCCGGCCATTCAGGAAGCTCAGGAGGCGGCGGCCATTCAGGAAGCTCAGGAGGCGGCGGCCATTCAGGAAGCTCAGGTGGCGGCGGCCATTCAGGAAGCTCAGGAGGCGGCGGCCATTCAGGAAGCTCAGGAGGCGGCGGCCATTCAGGAAGCTCAGGAGGCGGCGGCCATTCAGGAAGCTCAGGAGGCGGCGGCCATTCAGGAAGCTCAGGAGGCGGCGGCCATTCAGGAAGCTCAGGAGGCGGCGGCCATTCAGGAAGCTCAGGAGGTTCAGGTGGCAGCGGCTCTGGAGGGTCTGGCAGCTCTGGAAGGTCTGGCAGCTCTGGAGGGTCTGGCAGCTCTGGAGGGTCTGGCAGCTCTGGAGGGTCTGGCAGCTCTGGAGGGTCTGGCAGCTCTGGAGGGTCTGGCAGCTCTGGAGGGTCTGGCAGCTCTGGAGGGTCTGGCAGCTCTGGAGGGTCTGGCAGCTCTGGAGGTGGCGGTGGCAGCTCTGGAGGGTCTGACAGCACTGGATGGTCTGGCAGCACTGGAGGGTCTGGCAGCACTGGAGGTGGCAGTGGTAGCTCTGGAGGTGGCAGTGGCAGCTCTGGCAGTAACAGCTCTGGTGGTGGCAGTTCTGGCAGTAACAGTTCTGGTGGTGGCATCAGCTCTTGTAACTCAGGTGGTGGTGGCCATTCTGGTGGCTCAGGTGATGGTATTTCAGGAACTGAAACAGGAACTATGGCAGGAACGGACAAGGAACAGGAAACCATCTTGTGAGCAGGTGGCAGATTGGCGCTTACCACATTGTGAGCTGGAGGGCTGGTTGTGACCACATTGGGAGCTGGAGGACTGGAGTCGGCCATCTTGTGAGCTGGAGGACTGGAGTCTGCCATCTTGTGAGCTGGAGGACTGGAGTCGGCCATCTTGTGAGCTGGAGGACTGGAGTCGGCCATCTTGTGAGCTGGAGGACTGGAGTCGGCCATCTTGTGAGCTGGAGGACTGGAGTCGGCCATCTTGTGAGCTGGAGGACTGGAGTCGGCCATCTTGTGAGCTGGAGGACTGGAGTCGGCCATCTTGTGAGCTGGAGGACTGGAGTCGGCCATCTTGTGAGCTGGAGGACTGGAGTCGGCCATCTTGTGAGCTGGAGGACTGGAGTCGTCCATCTTGTGAGCTGGAGGACTGGAGTCGTCCATCTTGTGAGCTGGAGGACTGGAGTCGTCCATCTTGTGAGCTGGAGGACTGGAGTCATCCATCTTGTGAGCTGGAGGACTGGAGTCGTCCATCTTGTGAGCTGGAGGACTGGAGTCGGCCATCTTGTGAGCTGGAGGACTGGAGTCGGCCATCTTGTGAGCTGGAGGACTGGAGTCGGCCATATTGTGAGCTGGGAGTGTGGTGATGGAATGAGCAGCAAGCCCCGTTGCCAGCGGGTCTTGCTGTCCTTTGCCCCCCCCAAAAAAATATTTAGGGGTGTCCTCCACCTCTCCTACAGTGAAGGGGGACCCACTTATTTGAAGTGCAAGATCAATATAACCTTCTAGAGTCCCGTGGGGGTCATGCAAAGGCATTGTGGAATATAGGGGCTCAGAAAGTCCTCCACGAAAGAAAATCATTAGGCATAAGTCATCCAAAGATGTTAAATGGGCTACCTGGATGAAGTCCTCCACGTATTCCTCTATAGACCGGGCTTCCTGACGCAGACACATGATCTTGATACCCGCTGAATCCATTGTGTGGCCGAGTCTTCTGTAACGCCGGGGAGTGACACCAACAACAGAAGGTAGGATCCAATATGCAGGTTTATTCACAGTCAGGCAAGCAGTGGTCCATACGGGAGCAAACAGGTATGTGAGGACAATCCAGAATCGTAGTCAGTTTAACAATCAAAAGGTCGAAAGGCAGGCGGCAGACAAGGATAACTAAATAAACAAGGCTAGGTTCAAAACAGGAAAACAAGACAAGGAAAACGCGTTGTAATGCTACTATACAGTGAACAAGACTCGGCAACATGTGTGTGGAACAAAGGGGTATAAATAGTCCAAACAATAATAGTGTAAGTGGCTTCAGCTGTGAGAGTGCAATCAGTGTTGATCTGGAACCGGTTGTGTGTGTGTGTGGCATGACTGGGTGTTGTAGTCAATAACATGGCAGATATGTAGTTCAATGAGTGTGAATGTTTGTGTGTGAATGTTTACCAGCGACATCTGGTGGTTGTTCGCTGGTGAACATGACAGCAGTAAACTGCAGTAAAGCAGAACATGGTCTAACACAAGAAATTACGGTGGCCCAGTAGTGCAAAACACAACAACATTAAGATGAAAATGCTGCAACACTAAGTTGGAAAAGCTGCAACACTAAGATGAAAAAAGCTGCAACACTAAGATGAAAAATGCTGCAACACTAAGATGAAAACACAACAACATTAAGATGAAAATGCTGCAACACTAAGTTGAAAAATCTGCAACACTAAGATGAAAAAAGCTGCAACACTAAGATGAAAAAAGCTGCAACACTAAGATGAAAAAAGCTGCAACACTAAGATGAAAAATGCTGCAACACTAAGATGAAAACGCTGCAACACTAAAAACGTAACACAACGGAAATGCTCCCAACCACTAGGTGGCAGTGGAACACCGATTACTTCTTCTGATTAAATAGATTTTATTAATACAGACCAAAACAATGATTATTACCTCGAGAAATTCCACAAGAAGTTCTAAATGTAAGTTAGTAACATTAAATGTAAATCAAGTTGTGAATGAGGATTTTTATTACTTTATGATTGGATATTCTGGGAAATCTTAATGTTTTTATAAAATTAAACATCAATAGTAATTTCGTCATTAAACTTTTAATGGCTGTTTAGGTCAGCTCTTGATTTATAAATGCCAACTAAATTTAAACTGTTGTCTTCACAGACTGCAATGTTTTGTCCATTTTGTGGAAATGTTTTGGGGACCATTATAATGTTTTGTGGCTCATGTGGTGGTAATATCCAGTTTTTGGCTGACATTCAATGTGGTAAGTTCATATTAGGCTTTAAAAATACATATTTATAGCACTGCTTAAAAAATATGTAATACTGGATTAATTAAAGTTGTGATTTATTAGTAGAATTTATGTATAATATTATACAGTATCTGCCTTACAGTAAATGACCAGCATCAAAACATACCTTGTCAACATATGCAGTATTTTTTTTCAGCAGGAGTCATTTAAGATAATTTTTATTCTTTTTTTATTGATGTTAGACTCATCTTTCCAATTTTGTGAGGATGATCTTCTTCGAAAATACTTCAGAGATGGACACAGTTACAGTGTCATTCTGGATTTTTTGGCATTGAAACACAACATTAAAATAAGCCTTCGTACCTTGAAAACAAAACTGAAAAACCTGTCCTTGTACAGGCGAAAAAACTACTCACCTTTGGAAATTGTTCAGTCTGCTGTTATTGAAGAATTGAGTGGTTCTGGACAACATTGTGGCTACAGAACAATGTGTCAGACTTTACGGCAAAAACACAATCTTACAGTTAGAAGGCAAGATGTAATGTTTATGATGGCAGACCTTGATCCATTGGGCATTGAACAACGCTCAAGAAGAAGATTTGTGAGAAGGGTTTACCATTCTTTAGGGCCTAATCATGTCTGGCATGTTGATGGCTATGACAAATTAAAACCATATGGTTTAGCTATAAGTGGATGCATTGATGGTTACTCACGCAAAGTTATGTGGTTAATTTGTGGAGCTAGCAATAATGACCCAGACATTATAGCTCATAATTACCTACAATGTGCCACTGAATTTGGAGTCATACCAAAACTACTTCGCACTGACTGTGGTACTGAAAATGGAACAATGGCCGCAATCCACTGTTCTTTGAGATCCACACACATGGATGACCTTGCAGGGGCTTCAAGCCATATGTATGGCTCCTCAATCACAAACCAAAGAATTGAAAGCTGGTGGTCAGTTTTCAGAAAACAAAGGTAGTTCAAACAATAATGGCATTTTTAGATTGTATTGAACATTTCTTGCTGAGTTTTAGTTGGATATGTTAAATATGTTATAATAAAAACCCTAATGTGTAAAATTGATGTTGATGTTGGTCTGTTCATACAGGTCTCAATTTTGGATGGATCTTCTCAATGACTTGAAAGACAGACAGCTCTTTAATGGCAGTCATGAGCAGATATGCTTAATGCGTTTTGCGTTTTTAAGTGTACTGCAGAAGGACCTTGATGAATACAAAGAATCATGGAACACTCATACCATTAGGGCAGTTAAACAATCTCGCTGTCCTTCTGGTAAACCTGATGCCATGTACTCTCTTCCACAAAGGTTGGTATGTGAGTTTAAAAAGTTTTTTAACTTTTGTAATAAAATTAAGATTTTAATTAACACAAAAAGCCAAACTTTTGCAACTTTCTTCAGTGGAATAGAAAATTTAGATAAAATACTACTCCACAGAAGCAAACCTTAAGCTTTAGATTGCTTTAGGTTTATTAGTTATATTTTGGGGATGAACAACAAAATTTATTGATTTAAAGAATAAAATGCCAATAAAAATGTATGTATTTAATACTGTAGTTTTTTTTATTAAACAAAAAGGTAGACTTTTTTACTTCTTTATTCAAAGGTTCAATGGAAGAGAATCTGGATTTAGCATCTCACAGGAAGCACTGGACGAGTTTTTCATTGAACCAACTCGTAGCACATGTGGAGATGGACAGTTGCAGGCACACTTTGAAGAACTACATGCTCAAACCAATCTAACTACACCTCACACTTGGGAGGCTGGTGTGGAAAACTACATATCTTTAAAGAACATGGCCCACATTTAAACAGAAAAAAGAAATTCAAAGGTATAACTCACCCAAAAATGAAAGTTATCAATTTATATAAACCCATACAAGTTTGTTATTTTTGTTAAACAAAAAAGATGATATTTTGCATAATGTTGGTAACCAGACACTTGATAGTACTCTGACTACCGTGGTAGAAAATAAAAGTACAGTAGAGGTCAGTATGTACTGTCAAGTGTCTGGTTACTAACATTACTCAAAACGCATACATGTTTGAAACAATACGAGGGTGAATACATTATTATTAACTTTTATTTGTGGGTGAACTATCCTTTTAGTATGGATGCCAGTTTTCATCATTTTTTTTATTATATATTTTTGTGGAATCTACAAACAATACCACAATATCAATAATTTACACATTTTCTTTCCTTTTTTTTTAAACAATAACTAAGGGTAAACAAGAACACTCAAAAACCCTAGTTTTCATCATTAAATAAAAAATAAAAAAGGTTATAAAAAAATCTTAGAATTCTGAATTTTTCCTCAGAAGTTATAAAGTCAGAAATAAAATTGTGTTTGTTTCATGCAATTCTGAGATGAAAACTTGCAATAACCTTTAAAAAAAAATTGTTCAGTGGCAAAAACTGGCTTTCCATACATTAATACTAATCAGCGCAATCCAAAACCAGGTGAGTTTTGAATTCCAAAATCCATTGCATTTTTGAACTCATCATAGCTTTTTGACACTGGCAATTTGATTGTGTTGGCACAGGTGCTTGCAATGGGAAATTTAGAAGACCTTTCAAAAATGAGTCTGGGCTGTGGCACAATTGTTGAAGGAGGCAGTGAATCTAATCCCGTGGCAAACATCAAAATGTTCTGGAGGGAGACTCCTGTTTCTTGTTCTGAAAAGATTAAACAAAAAACAAAAGAATATCACAAAATTTGTTATCAACAACAATAAAATATAATGTTCAATCCTTTACCTCCAGTGTCAAGCAGATAGTCTCTCCAGTATCCCAGTATTCTTGTTTCTTCTTGTCGTCTGGTGCTACCAGGTTCACTGAGCTGTGGCTTGAAGACATCCTCCAGAGATACAGCTGTTAGTCTGTCAACACTGTAGCACATATAGGGTCTGAATGCAATAGGGTGTTGTTGCAGGGCATTGATGACATCCAGGGTGGAAAGCCCATCCCTAAATCTATAACCCAAATAGAAATCACAAAGTGATATCACTTCACTCATAATTATTATATTATCTCAAATTAGAAACAAGACTTACCTTTGCACAGAGTATTGGTTTCTGTATATAATGTACCACAGTATGAAATCCTTCACAATGTTGTCTTTGCCTTTTACACTTTGTGGGAAATCAAAACACCCAGCAGTCTGCAGCAAGCTTTCATACTTCTCAATCAGTGTGTGCAATTCATCTAGTGATTCTGCACTTGATATCTGGGGTAAATGGTTGCAATTAAATTACAAATAACACACATACACACATACATACATACATATATATATATATATATATATATATAGCAAAAAATATATATTGTGCCTTTAAATGAACAAACAAATAAATGACTTAAAAGAAACTTGACGCACCTCAATTAAAGCTGCCTTCATGGTTTCATCTGTTACATCCTCAACTGTTCCATTAATGTCAGTTCTACCAATGAGGTAATCATACAGCATGTTTGATAAAAAGCGAGGACCTGGACCACCATGTACAATAGAGACTGCAATCATCCGGCCAGCAAGGAAGTACTCATCTTCTCTGACAGCTACAGGAAAATATATTTTTTCTAGACTTAGTGAAAAAAGACAGTAATGTAAATTATTAAGCAGTTACAAGCTTGAAGTAAATAATTTACCTGCATTATTAAAGGTGAGAAATCTCCCGTTTTCTGGTCCATCAAAAATTCGCCGTGCTTTTAAACAGTCCATTAGGAGGGTTAGAAACTCACGTTTTGGACCACCTGTGTCAACTGCATCTTCAGTTGAGCCTTCATCGTCTGTAAATTTGACAAGCATGTCATGCAATGGATCATATGATGCACGTTTAAAACCACGAACTGCTCCATCCCAAATATTAGCTCGATTTATGTTGAATCTACTGCAAGACGTCCTTATGATCTTCTGTGAAAGATCTGACACAATGTCTGCAGCAGAGATTGCATCTGAGCTGTAAAACACAAAAGATTTCGATTAAGCCAATCAATCATGATGCTATAAAAATGGAGTGAATAATTTAGAAACAACATAATTAATAAATTACATCCATTCCTCTTCAACATGTTGTGTACTCTGGTCTGACCCTTCTGAATCACTTTCAATCACTATTGGTGCATACAGACGTGTGTAATTACTGTAAAGACAGCATAAAATGCATACAAAATAATTGTAGACCATTAAAATAAGTTTAAAGCAATTTGTTTTTTTACTACAATCTAGTTTAAAAAAAAGCAATTTAACTACAAACTTACGTGTAGCATTTTTGTTGGTCACGTACATGTTCTTGTATGTTGGTTCTGATTTTTCCTGCTTCCTTGATTTGTCAGAAAGAGAACACATTTTTTAATTAAAACCTGTTTTTTAATTAATATTACATAAACCACATAAAAAATGAATTTTTGATTTGTTGTAACAAACTAAAGGCTTGTGCACACCAGGCCAACTTTCACTCATGGTTATCACCAATGCCTTATGACTCAACAAATAGAGACAGTGTGTTTTTTTTTTTTTTTTTGGTTTGCTTCACAAACTGCATAAAATACTGGTCAACCAATGAGCTTTGCAATTTGGTTCCAATGCTTGGACCTGCTGAACTTACAGCAAATCATGACTTAAGCATAAAGTTGTTTTGTGGCACTCTGCTCTGTCACACATTGAAAACTTGCCTGTTCCTTCTGAGGCCCTTATACACTCACAAAAAGTACTGCATTTACCCCCAGTAAAGCCTGATCTGAGGCCAGTATGCCGCAAGGACAATTCTGTTAATAATGCACAAGCAGTGCTTCATGCTTGCAGTGCAGAGCCCTGAGCGTATACTATACCTTTGTTCAATAAAATTTAAAAAAGTGGAGTGTGCTGGTCTGAAAGGATGTTGGTAATGGGATATTGTTACACTGCCTGCCTCACTCCCATTCAAATTATACCACAGATAAAATAGGATTTGACTGCAAGTTTCATTTTACCTTTCTTTCATAGATATAGGCTGACAAACAAGTAAATACATTTGACAAACATAAAAATGTTTTAACGAATGAGTAAAAACTGTCTTTCTTCTGTATGACAAGTGATTGTCAGGTGTAATGGGATATTTCTGTTTTTCATTAAGCAACATTTGTTAGCACATTCACTTAGCTCAATGCCAGCAAAAATCACTTAGGTATGAATACCTTTTAGGTATAAAAACATCTCGGAAATACACTGAGGATAATCATAAGCGAAAATCGTATTGGTCTGTATTAGCCTTAAAGTTGTAATGTACATAAGTTGTAACATAGGTGAACTTACTTGTTCCTGAACAGGCAAAGAGTGATCAGGCGGTCTAAAAAAATAACAACTAAAGATTATTTTGTGCAACACTTGAACTTCAGAAAATGTCCTCTTAACTTTACTAAGGTAATACCGGTGTGAGCTGCTTCCTGCTTCATCCGCACTATCCCATATCTGTGTAGAGAACAGAAAGCAGGAGTCAAAATGAGCTACAATTAAATGTTATATTTATGTTAGGAGATATGCAAATAAATGACCCACCAAAGTGTCACTCTCATCATGTTGACTGTGAGAGGTAAATTTTACTTGCACTACGCTGTCTTCACTTGAAGAATCCTCATTACAGTCTTCAAACAACAAATATGAACATAGTAAAATTTTGATTCAATTAAAAAACATGTATATGTCATGTTTTATACATTATTTTTATTAGATTTCCTTTAAAATAAATATGCTCACCAGTGGCAAAAAAGTCTTCAACTGTGCATATATACAGTGTTATTCTTTGGTAAGCCTTCCCAATTGCCTCTTTGTACAGCTGTAGTTTAAAAGGGGTGTTTGTTCCTGGAATATTCTTAACCTCTGAACCATCTGGGTACAGTAAAACATAGGGCCCATCTTCCATGTCTTGATTAAAATCTTTTACTTTCTTTTTGCCAGCTATTAACACTTGCTCAGATGTCCAGTTTGTTTCAACTTCAAGAGGCAGCCGTTTCCCTCTCAGGGGCTTTAGGACACCACAATGTCTTTCCATACTTCCAATGTAAATCTACACATGAAAAGAATTAACACAAATGTAACAAACTGGACATTATAATAGGCTTTAATATAATTGTTATGAAAAAAAAAAAACATTAAAGACTGATTAAAGAAAAAACATGATTTTGAAAGTAGTATCTACACTTCCTCAATCTAACCCTGAACTGTATTCCTGAGCAAACAGATATTCGTGATAAGTTACACTTTACAATAATATTTAATTAGTTATGGCTTTGTTCAGCATTACAAAATCTTTTTCATATGCTAATTTAGCTGTTTAACCACTTACACATACATAAATGTATTTTGTTAATGAATTAGATATCATGACCTAACTATGAACAAGACATTAATTCAACAATGCTAAACCTTTGTTCATGTAAACTTAAAAATATAATAATGTTACTTGATGCATTACTTAAAATGAACAAATAATAAAAAATGTTAAAAAATTACACAATCTAAAACTGTCATGTTAGTCATGTTTGTGGACTCTTTACAAACATGATTATTATCAGTAATAAAGCATTTGTTATGCGAATTAGGAACCTTTTTGTTAAGTGTACACTTCTCTGTCATTATGTAATGGTTTACTAACATTTGTAAATTCTTTACTAACATTATCAGTAACAAAGCATTTGTTAAAGGAATAATGAACTTTAAAGTGTACACAACAACCACACTAGCTAATGTATCACTAACATTTAACTTTTTTAACGATTATTTATTGACAAAGTTATTGTTATTATTTTATTATAATTATATATTTTTTACTTTTTTTATTTATTTTTTTATTGTGTTCTTTTTAAGCTTTGGCCTAATGGTTTGAGAGTTGGACTTGGATAATCCCAAGGTTGCAGGTTCAAAGTGACCAGCAGGGATTGTTGGTGGAAATATTCACCTCAGTACCACGGCTGAGGTGATTCGCTTGAGCAAAATCAATAATTACTGCTTTGTAATGAATCCATAGATGTTTATATACAACTGAACATACAATTACAAAAGATTCCTAATGTCCTTAAGATGCTGTGTTACTAATCATGTTAGTAAAGAGTCCACAAACATGAATAACAGCCAGGGACGTTTATGTTTATGATTAATAATGCATTAACACACACACGCACCCACGCACACGCACACACACACACATAAGTAAGTGATGCTTAACAAATGTATTGTTTATTATTAATTAATGCAAATTAACTAATACAAACGTATTGTAAAGTGTTTTTGATAATACACTGTATCCTTTAATTTAAAGTAATTATTAAACAGAAGTGTCTCACTAGATCATTACTGGATGTATACCTTTACTCCTTTATCCTTCTTTGAGGCATGACTTTTCTTTGTAAAAAAGGTTTTCCTCTCCTTCTCCTTTATTGCCCTGAACTTCATGAAGCAATCCACAGAACTTGTTTCTGTTTTTCCTGCATCAGAAACATCATAAAAATCTATTGCATGTCACATTAATCAGCTAACGAAAATCTGCAATAAATATTAAAAGGAATAAAACATTCTTTAGAAATCAAACAGCATGTCCAATTAACATCCCAGATAGCAAAATACACTCGGGCCAGTTCCGGCTAGATTGTCGCCTGCCGGAGACTAACCCCTCGGCCCAACTTCGGCTGCCGGACTCGGGCCGGATGCCTGTGGACTCACTGCCCGATTCCGGCCCGAATCAAGCGGGCCAGATGCGGCGGCCGTAAGCGAGCCGACGCTGCGCATCCGCGCCGGAATCGGCGCGAGGGTAATGTGCGCCGCGGCCCGGAGCTGGCGCGACTCCGTATTTATACACCTTATAAAACGTTTTGGTATTACATTGGTACTTGATATATGGTATTACAACCATTTGAATTTATATAACAGCAAACACAGGCTATAATGTAAACACAAAGTGTAAGCACTGCGTTTAACCTTTGAATAAAGTGCAAACTGCATACATATTCTGTAACGAAAATAATCAGACAAATGACAAAATAAATAAATGTTAAACGTTTATTGATTGCATGAAAAAAAATAGTACTAAAATTTTATAAATAATTTTGTAGTGCACAAGAATATCAATATAAAAACAACAATAAAACAACACAATAAAGACACACAGAAAGATTTAAACAAAAAATCTAAAAATTACACACAAACACAGATGTTTTTTAAAACAACCCTGTTTTCCCAATAGACTTGAATTAAAAATTTGTAAAAAACAGCTAAATTTTATATGAACCTAAATATAGAAACCAATTTAAGATATAGCAAGAAACATCTTAAAAATACCAATGACAATCCGTAAAATATCCAAGTCAAACTTGTAAAAAGTACTGCAGAATTCTGAAGAAACATCTTGAAACATTTTTTAATAAAACGTTTAAATAATAATAAACAAACAAATATATATATATAAAATTGCAGAAGTATAAAGTCAAACTTTTTTTTTAAATAAACTTGAACAAAATCAATTGCACAAACAGCAAGACATGAGTGAGATGATTATACATTTCATATATATACACGTCTTGTGCAATTTTATATTTATAATTTTATTTGTATTACGTTTATTAAAAATGTAGCAAGATGTTTCTTCAGAATTTGGCGCACACACATACATACATACATACATACCATACATATATATATACACACACACACACATATATATATATATATATACACATATACATATATATATATATAAATGCAAATGAAAGAAACAAATTGTTCAAGTATCAGGGAACATCCTAATACACTTAAAATGTTGTTTAAAAAATAAAACAAAATAGTGATGTAGACATTTGACACATTAGCTTTCTCTTCTTTCTTCCTCCATCCCTGTCAGGGGCAAGTTGTAGCTACCTTGTAATGCATTTTTCCACTTCTTTATCAGTGGCGTGGTAAGGACATTTGTCCTCGCTCCATCTGTGATTAAAAGATAAACAGATAATTAGTAGTGAACAAGTACTAATGTAAAAAAAAAAAGAAAAAATTAGGAAAAAAGTAGGCTACCTACGAAGCAAAAACACTCAAAAAAAAACAAATAAACTTAAAACCCTTTGAAATTAGCAAGAGCTTGAACTTACCAGTTTCTTCATTTGTTCGGGCTGCTCCTTTAGTTAATTTTCAAGCTTTTCCAAATCAAATTGGCCAAAGGAAGGTCAAATGTGTTTACATCTGGAATTTCATCACGTCTGTTTTGGTTTTGTGAGAATCAGGCCCAGCTGCTGCTTTATGACGTTGCATGATTTTAAAACTTCAGTCAGTCGTGCTAAAAAAGAAAAATAACAGATTAGTATAAATCAACCTGTAGCTTATTCTCATACAACTTCTGTAAATACAACAGTGGGTTAGACACTGCTGATATTCTCTAGTTGATCTTTACTTTCTAGCTGCATTAAACCTTAACAAATTTAGTGATGTCTTCAATTCTTACAAAGACATCACGAGATGCAATAAGTTCTGTCTTGATCTCAAACTGCACTAGAACAAAGACTGTAAATGTTCATAGGTGTACTGCAGGAGTGTCCAAACTTTTTGGGCCGAGGGCCAGATGCAAAAAAACAAACGTTGTCGCGGGCCAAATTTTACATACATCACACAGACACACACACACACACACACACACACACACACACACACACACACACATATATATATATATATATATATATATATATATAAATGCAGTTGAAGTCAGAATTGTTAGCCCCCCTAAATTATTAGCCACCGTTTATTTTTTCCCCAATTTCTGTTTAACGGAGAGTTAAACATTTTTTCCACACATTTCTAAACATATTAGTTTTAGTAACTCATTTCTAA